AATTAATGCATTTGCCTAATTTGCATATATCAGCAATATGCAAATTAGGTAAAGGCATTAATTAAGCATGCGAAAGGCTGACTTTTTAGAACAAAATGAATAGTTAAAGGGCTTAAACTAAACCAAATTGTCTGAAATTTTGTACAGTAATTAAAAACCCGACAAGTTTTCAATCTATTAACTCAAAATATGATTACAGCTTTTAAATTTTGTGCGCGAGCCATTTTTAATTTGTTGGGAAAGACACACCTCCCTGGTTCACAAAATTTGAGTTCGAGAAATTTTTTTCATTATTTTACATTATAAGTACCCAAAGAAGCTATATATATAAAAAAACAGCTACAAATAGGTGTTTTGCGAAATTGAGAGCAATTTCAAATCTGTTCAGTTTTTTTTTATACACCCTGTATATATATAAATTAAGGTACAACAAATCAACAAAATCCACTAGGCATCTTTATTACTAAATAGTTTCGTACCACAGTATGTGGCACTCTTCAGATAAATTGACCTAAGATCAATTTATCTGAAGAGTGCCACATACTGTGGTACGAAACTATTTAGTAATAAAGATGCCTAGTGGATTTTGTTGATTTGTTGTACCTTAATTTAAATATGCTCTGGTTTTCCATTGAGCACTTTGCCAAAAGTTTTTATAGCCAACAAAACCAAACTTTATATATATATATATATATATATATATATATATATATATATATATATATATATATATATATATATATATATATAGATTGTACTATTACGCTCCTTCACTTCGGTGTTGTAGAGCACTCTGTGGAGTTAATTGGGTGTCCATTAGCAATAATGCAAAGCTCACTTCCCTCGTGGTTGTTTGAGCACTCTGGCCCCATGTCACTCTGCGCATGTCTGGATGCGTTAATGGCTCGTGTTGTACCACATGCGCTTGGGAGAGCAAGTGTCATGTATATTAATACGAAGGTCATTGCGTGTCTAGATGTGAATACGAAGGTCATTGCGTACCAAAGCTGCACTGATGAGGCGTAGGACGCCGAAACATGCATGTCTGCAGATTGTACTATATATATATATATATATATATATATATATATATATATATATATATATATATATATATATATATATATGTATATATATATATATATATATATGTATATATATATATATATATAGTACAATCTGCAGACATGCATGTTTCGGCGTTCTACGCCTCGTCAGTGCAGCTTGGTACACGTCTAGATACGTGAGACACTCGTATTTATATCCCATGAACTTGCTCTCACCAAGGCATGTGGTACAACACGGTGACTCAACGCATCCAGACATGCGCAGAGCGTAATGGGGCCAGAGTGCTCAAACGACCACAAGGGAAGGGAGCTTTGCATTATCGCTAATAGACACCCATTAACAACTCCGCAGAGTGCTCAACAACACCGAAGTGAAGGAGCGTAATATATATATATATATATATATATATATATATATATATATATATATATATATATATATATATATATATATATATATATATATATATATAGTGAGTATACTCACTATATATATATATATATATATATATATATATATATATATATATATATATATATATATATATATATATATATATATATATATATATATATACAGATATATATATATATATTTAAAGATTTGTAATCCAGGCATATTATAATTAATTAAAGTTCTCCGGATTGAAATATACTTTTATTGAGCTTTCGACTCGGTACTTCGGTACTTACATATGTACATTATTTAATTAAAGTTTTGCGGTGCTGCTACGTTGAACACCGTAGCAACACCGCAAAAATATATAAGGATATACTTTGTACTTTTTAAAGTAAAAATTCAATATATATAATTCAAAACAAGACGCAGTTTGAGACTGTAATTTTCGACTTTATTTCAAAGTCATCTTCAGACAGAATGAAATACAATACTTTACAACACATATATATACAACGCAGAGAGAGAGCATCTGTCATGTGGGCGGAAAGAAGGATTATCCAAGCGAAGCGAAACATGATAAAGAAAATAGTAATAACTGAAAATGGACTATTTAGCTATATTTACAACAATGTTTGATATATTAAAAGGATTAAGGTAGAAAGGGAAAGACCCGACATGTAGAAGAAGATTGAGTTAAAGTGTTATGTGAACAGTTGTAGTTGTTTACTAGCTTTAAGTCCAGTGTTAAGAAAAGGTTTGTTGTGTTTGATAAGCAATGCTTCAAATCCCGATGGCGTAGTTCATTTTTTAGACATAAAAGTCTCGGTTGATGGTACTGACATTTATCGTAAGGACACCCACACCAGTCAGTATTCACATTTTTCAAGTTTCGAGCCTTTTCATCGAAAAAGTGCATGGGTAAAATCTCTGCTCTACCGGGTTTTTAAAATTTGCTGTTCGAAAACACTTTTCAACAATCGAATTGAAACTATCAAATCTATTATGCCTTGGAATGGTTATCCTAATGGCGTTCGAAACTTTTTGATTAAAAAGCTTAAAACCAAATTTATTGATAGTTCTACTTTCGATGCCGTTAATCATGACACGGATGATGATATGTTGCCTAAAATTTGGATTCGTATTCCTTATCTCGGAAACCGTGGCGATTTTCTTTTAAAATCATGTCTTAATAAAATACAAAGATTTCTTTCTAAACCGGTTAAGTTCATCACTATTTATGACACTAAAAAGCTCTCTTATTTTGTTTCCAACAAAGATAAACTTCCTCCTTTATCTCGTAGTAATCTTGTATACGAGGTCGCTTGCCCTGGTTGTGGCAAAACCTATATTAGCATGACACAAAGATGCCTTTCTGTACGTTTGAAAGAGCATGCAACTAGGTTCAGGGGCGGATAGAGGATTTTTCGTACGTTTTCGTACCTTTCATTCGCCAAGCGAATTAATGTGTGTCCAGTTTTATGAAAAAAATGTTACGTGGAAAATTACTGTTTCGCCCAATGCCAGGGCTCGTCAGCATGCCTAGGAAACACACAACACCATGGCGTATCTTGCGATTCCGACATGGACAGCCCTCTTTCAAAGGAAAGGGCCTAAGCTGACTGGTTTTAAGGCGCCAGCACTCGCCTTCACACCTTTGCTCCGCAACGAAAGGAGTTTGGTTGGACATGGGGACTATATGGGACATTTTGTAGATGTGAAACCGCTCTCTTTTCACACCAATCCCAGTCATTTCCAACCCTTTACCCCCCTCCCCGGCCCACCTAACCTATAATCCTAAGTCCTAACTTAAACTTCAATCAAGATCCGTGCTTACGGATCGAAAGCTTTGCAGTAATAAATTTACGTGGTGTTTCCACAAACAAAAAACATTCAACATCCAATTCTTATCGAGAAATAGTTTGACAAGAATGAATTGACGTTTTAAAAATTGTTATTTTATCGCATGCATGGTTGATAATTATACTGTAGGAATATTTTCTCCTTTTACTTAGAGGGTGAAAAGATTGAGAAATATAGTTATGCAGTTTAAAACATTTTGTCAGTTAATTCGCAGGAAAAGAATTTCCATATTTAATTCAAATTGCTTTGAAACTTACTTAATTATCATTCATATATATGTTAACTATTGTAAGACGCAATTAACATAGGTCAAAACTGTCTTGATTAAATCATTGGGTGTATATAGCAAGCAATTGTTGTTATGAAAGTGCACTGAACACCTTTGCTATTAACCAGAATTCCAGACAACATGTTATATAAAAGCGAAAAAGTTAAGTAAATTTCAACCTCGTGTTTCCAACTGCAAATTTATCAATTACTTTTTCAATATCTGGGACAATCTCTTGATGAATCTGCATCATGGCTAGACCGTTTAGCCGTTCTTCAACCATTTTACTACGCTGGTAGTTCTTAAGTGTCCTCAATGCTGAAATGGTTCTTTCACACTCACAAGAAGTGATGGGAAGTGTTCCTAAAATACGTAGAATAACTTTGATATTTTCAAAACCATCAAAACTGACAGCTTTTAGAGTTGTGGGAATGTTGTCAGGAAAAAGTTCTTCGTGGGTCTCCCAATAAGTCGTCCACAATGACATCTCAGGATCTAGAGCTAACGGATAAGGCAAGTCGTCAATATAAAAATTGGCAACAACTTTGAATTCATCCCGCCAGTCTTTCCCATTCTCTTTTAAAGACATCATCTTTGTCGGTACAATGCTTAATCCTTTATAAACGTTAACACTATCAGTGTCAAACCTGTGTTGTAAAGCAGAATTAATATGGTCAACTAAAGGAATACTTATGGTACGCTTATAATATGCTGAGATTGACTTATATGGAGGATTGGATCGAGTTGTTTGTCTCCCTACTGTCCGTGGTTTACTCTCTTCTATGTTAACTCTTTCAGCTAAATCCAATGCCTCAGCATACCAGGCATCATGGAAAGAATCAATGGAATTTCTATAGTTAATAAAGTCATTTTTCATAGTATTAATTAAATGAATACCATCCATAATATCAATACTCTTTCCCTGTAGTAATAAAGTCACTGGAAGAAGTCTATCAAGAATATTGTGGGAATTAACGATCAAAAGCTACAATAAATTCAAACTGTGCAACAAGATTATAAAAATGAGAAGCGTCAGTGAGAAGGTTTGGTCTATAGCTCCCTTGTACATTATCTTTCATCTCCTTGAGGGTATCATATAAAGGGACAAAAAGCTCAATAAATGTATCCAAACCCGCAATTCGCTCAACCCATCTGGTCCGACAAACATCTACCAGCCGTTTTTTCTGAGATTCTCTCTCAGGATAATTGCGGACAATTTCCTCAAAAGGCATGTTATGTGTCTGGGAGATATTAATAAAATGTGAGACTTCTTTAACATGTTTCATCATAGTATTGACCTCAACAACAGTCAAAGAATCACATACAGCCAAATTAAGTCGATGACTATAACAATGGGTATAGACGGCTTTCTCATTAATACGTAAAATATTTTCTGACAAGCCATTGATATGTCCCGCCACAGCACCTGCACCATCATAACCTTGCCCTCGACAATCATCAATAGATAATGTCAGGTTGTTAAGAGCTTCTAAGATTAACTTGGCAAGTTGTTCACCAGTTAACCCCCACCTACACTGAAGGAAAGCAATAAATTCTTCACGAATATTCATGTCAATGTCTACAAAACGTAAAACAAGAGACATTTGCTCCTTATGAGAAGAGTCTGCAGCCTCATCTGCAATAATAGAATAAAATTTACTAGCCTTAATATCTTGAATTATCTGTTCACTGATCACTTGACCACAACACTTAATAATTTTATTTTGGCTTGTCTTAGAAATATAACTCTTATTTTTACCACAATTTTTCAAATGGTCCTCCAAAACTTTGTCCCCAGCCCAAACTCTAAAATTAAGACATTCTACAAAATTACCAACTCCCCCGGTAGAGTAATTGCCAACTTCTGGATGGTATTTAGAGTCATCACGATGACCACGTAATGGTAAACCAAGATGGCCACAAAAAATAACAGAATCTACAATTGAGCCAAGTTTCTTTCTATTTTCCTCAATTTCTTTTTTGAGGTTAGTATCTAAAATTACCTCTATTGGCTGTGCTTTCCCTGACATTTGGGAAAGTAAAGATGTCAGTATAGGGAAGGTACGTGAATGCTGGCTCATTTCCCCACCTAAACCCTGTCCAGCATGATGTTTCAAAGTATATGCTGCACCACTCCAATGGCGAAGAGGTTGAGAAAATAAATTATGAATTTTGCTACATTTACCAGGAAAGCGATCTCCAAACAGAACGCATGACAAACAGAATGCACCATCTTGAGAAGGTGAATAACAAAGCCATGAATGTAATTCTAGCCAATCATACCTGAAGCTTCTGCCACTAGTCTTAGGAAATGAATATTTTTTGTCAGGTTTAAACACATTTTGGATAAGATTGCAAATCTCAGATGAGCTCATTCCCTTAACCATATCCCTGTACATTGCAACATCAAAATTAGTAACATGTGATTTTACCTTTTTCGCAATGGGTGTCTCACCTGATTCTAAAACATTGCTTTTCGTGTTAGTTGAGGTACTAGGTTAACTTAGATCTAGTTTGCTATTATCAAGGGGGGAAAATGACTCGCTTTGGGCCACACGAGATTTTGGCTTTAAAACAGATTTCTCCCCCACATTAAAAAACTTAGCAATATTTGAGGCTTTTTTGGGAAGAATTGGAGAAAGTTTTTTCTTCTTGGTGGATGCTTGGGAAGAAACAGCTACAGGTTTTCTTTTAAGCTGCTGTGTATAAAAAAGAAGAGGAACAAAATTATTCGACTGGAACCATAGGCAGCCCAAAACGGCGTGTAGAATGCACCAATAATGCTTCCAAATGTCAATTTGCATTAAGCTCGCCCCATTCCTTTGTCATTTATCGCGCGGCGCAAGCACTCAATTTGAAAAGCAGTGTTTTGTGTTGATATATATAGATTATACCTAAGGTTGGCAACTATATCTCAACTGACGAATATACCACTTCGGCAGAACGCAAAATACTTCGTATACGTAAATAAAATATGATAAAAATTATACCACATTGAACTCTGATATTTTTTCTACATACCCGCATATAAATTTTGTTTTCAAGACTGCAAGAAAGATGAAAAATTTGTACAAACGTTTCATAGTCTGATGAAAATTTTGATGTGACTATGCGGGATGCCAAAGGTTATTTCATTCGTCATATTTTTAAAAAAATTATGTGATTTAATTGGTTGAAAAAATAAACAGTTTGTGACGTATTTATAGTAAAAATTTGGTTTCAGGGGGGGTTGAACTACAACAGGAAGACTGCTAAAATACAAGATCGATTTTTTTTCGAAGATGAAATGGTGGATTTTAAAAACTTTTAAAAAGTAAATGTTTAGGCATTTATTATAGAATACATATTAAACTTTCAGAACTTTGATACTAACAAGATTGTTTATATATAAATGCAAAATTCCATGCTGGGATATAAAATAATGCTAGCACTCTTACAAATTGCAGCCTATTTTGTGAACACATTCACTCAGTATTATTAAAGTTAAACGGAAAAATTTATCCAACTTATTGAACCAAGTTAAATTAAAACGCTATAACTAAATTCACTGCCTATATACACTCCATACGGTTCACAACGGAGCGTGCTCGCATTACATATCGCCGTCTTTTTTATAGCACATTTTCATCGCCATTATTGCTCAGAATTTCATGACATTTCGTGTACATGTAGCCAAAAGTTACCTGGTTGTTTTGCTGTAGATAAAAGTTATGGAGGATGTAAAAAGTTTTTAAAATCCACCATTTTATCTTCGAAAAAAAATCGATCTTGTATTTTAGCAGTCTTCCTGTTGTAGTTCAACCCCCCCTGAAACCAAATTTTTACTATAAATACGTCACAAACTGTTTATTTTTTCAACCAATTGAATCACATAATTTTTTTAAAAATATGACGAATGAAATAACCTTTGGCATCCCGCATAGTCACATCAAAATTTTCATCAGACCATGAAACGTTTGTACAAATTTTTCGTCTTTCTTGCAGTCTTGGAAACAAATTTTATATGCGGGTATGTAGAAAAAATATCAGAGTCCAATGTGGTATAATTTTTTATTATGTTTTATTTACGTATACGAAGTATTTTGCGTTTTGCCGAAGTGGTATATTCGTCAGTTGAGATATAGTTGCCAACCTTAGGTATAATCTATATATATCAACACTGCTTTTCAAATTGAGTGCTTGCGGCGCGCGACAAATGACAAAGGAATGGGGCGAGCTTAATGCAAATTGACATTTGGAAGCATTATTGGTGCATTCTACACGCCGTTTTGTGCTGCCTATGCTGGAACGTTGTTCCAGCAGTTACAGTACCTTCATAACAAAATAGAATATCAAGATCATCCAAACCTTTCTTTGGAGTTAAGCGTGGTCGAATCATGCGATTAAGTAACAATTTATACCTATGAGCCCCACAATCAGAATAATAACTAACTAGAAAATACATGCATGCAGAAACCCTCGCCTTGCTGACAAAACCGTTGTATTTTCCGAACATGAAGTATCTAAAGTAGTTGTCATGGTACACGGCAAAAAACGCTCAGGTTGATGCAATACTGATGAAAACAGGATTGAACAATGTTTTGCTGCCCACATTGTTCATAGCTGTCAACAACATCGAACAATATTGTTACACCCGATTCAGGCTCAACAGCATTGTTCAATATTGTTGACAGCTATGAACAACGTGGGCAGCAAAACATTGTTCAGTCCTGTTGAGCAACGGTCTCGGCGTTTTTTGCCGTGTAACACGATAATTTTTTAAGAATATTCTTACAAATGAAAATCGCCTAAAAATATCACTTTTAATTACAAAATTATCAATTTCCCAACATATATATGTTAGGTATGTAATTATACGTAATACAAGCTTCAATTTAAGGTAAAATTCAACCACAAACAATTCACAAAACGTTTTAAAGTGTTCTTTATAAAACTAAACTGCCTTTAACTATTAAATGGCTTTATCGATAAACTTTGAGTTTGCAATAAAAAGATTTCAAATTTTCGCTTGCAAATAACTTTGCTTTATTTTTTATTTAAAAAATTCAATATAATAAGAAAGGGAATCAATATTAAAGATACACTGAAATTATATGCTGTCTTGTTTAGTTGTTTCATATACACGCAAAGGCCGTTGGGTTTTAAAGCCATTATAAAATCAATATTTAAAACAAACTTACCTTCGTTAACGTCGGCTCCCTTCTTTTAGCTGATTCTTTCGCCTTTTGTTTCTTGAAATTTACAAAATCTTGCAGAAATACGAGCAAAAATGAAGAATATTTGCAAGAAATTTATCAATCATCAACTCATCAAATCAAGAAATGTTTGCTATTTCGCTGTCGTCATGCAGTCGTTATAATGCAAACTTTAAATTGGACCAATCAGTGTCCGTTATTAATGACAGTCCGCCATATTTTTGAGATCAGTGAGGATGACCACCCATCGTTGGTGACCGACGCCCGCGCTCATTGATGAACTTTAGACTTCGCTAATGCTTTCGTTTCCCCGGGTGTAAATAGCCGGGGGGAATTAGTACCCTCGCACGGCGCTTCGCGCCGCCGGCTCGGGGAATATAGTCCTATTTAAAACAGAAGCGATACCCAATATGCAGAGAAATGATGACCACTTCTTCTCACTGCAATTATGAATGGCCTCCTGTCTAACCAAGTCGGCTTTAGTGCAACCAGTGTCTAAACACTCCTTAGAAACAGACATGGGTATAAGATTATTAATACTTTTGCTGAAGTAGTCAGCATGCTCATTTACAGCAGAAGAGAAGCAAGGGTGCTGAGAATAAAATTCAGCATTAGTAAAAAGCTCTATTGATGTCAAGATTCTCAACGATTCCATTAGACTATTGTTACCTACTTGTACCAAGGATGCAGAGCTATACAAACAATTTCCAGTAACATCAGATCTAAGATAGAAAACATTAACCTTGTAAGTGGCAATGCACCCTAGTTTATTACTTTACCCTGTCTAACGCCAGGCGATTTTACTCGTCATGGGTTAGGGACAGACCATATATCAATGGGTTAGGGACGGACCATTAGAAAATTGGGGGGGGGGG